GGACACAGGGAAGAGGTAACTATGGGGAGGAAGTGGGAGGGGAGCTGTTGCATTGTGGTAAACTGTGGTCAATGTCATGAGACAAAGTATATGTAAACTGCTGTATGGAAAGTGAATTTGCTCTGTAAATCTTCACCCAAATCACAATAAAAAAAGAAATATGAAAAGAAAAAAAAAAGAAAACGCAAATCCTCACAAGGATTTCAGTTTACTTGAAACCATAATCAACACCCATGGAAGCAGCAGTCAAGAAATCAGACATTGTATGGCACTGGGCAAATCTACAGCAAAAGACCTCTTCAAAGTTCTGAAGAGCAAAGATGTCACTTTGAAGACTAAGGGGTGCACCTAACCTAAGTCATGGTATTTTCAATCACCTCATAGGCATGTGAAATCTGGACAATGAATAAGGAAGACCGAAGAAGAACTGATGCCTTTTAACTGTGGTTTTGGCAAAGAATACTGAAGATGCCATGGACTGCCAAAAGAACAAATAAATCTGTCCTGAAAGTACAGCCGGAATGCTCCTTGGAAGCAAGAATGTCCAGACTTCATCTTGTGCCCTTTGGTCATGTTGTCAGAAGGTAGCATTCCCTGAAGAAGGATATCACATGCTTGGTAAAGTGGAGGGTCAGTGAAAACGGGGAAGACCCTCAACAAGATGAATTGACATAATGGTTGCAATGATGGGCTCAAGCATTGCAAGGATTGTGAGAATGGTGCAGGACTTGGCAGTGTTTTGTTCTGTTGTACATACGGTTGCTATGAATTAGAGCCAACTCGACAGCACCTAACAGCAATAGGGTTATAGGTATTTTCTCTGGAGATTATCAGCTGTTATATAGGTATATATTATACACACACACACACATATACTAGATGAAAAAATGCAACATATATATATATAAGCTGTTTACACTTACATTTCCTACTCTGTGCTGAATATTTATGGTATTGATATCTTTGAAGGTGAATTACATCTTTTGAAAATGTGATTGTAGATAATGTAAATTGTATTGGAGCACTTTAAATTTTGATTCTTTTGCTGAAATTTTTTAATTTCTAGTTTTTACAGAGAAATTCTTTAGTTGTAATTTGGGTGAAAGTTTGCAAAACAAATTCACTTTCCATACAACAGTTCATATACATTTTGTTTCATGACATTGATTACAGTCCTCACAATACAACAGCTGTCTTCCCACTTCCTCCCTGTGGTTACTTTTCCCTGTGTCCTTTCCTACGCATTCCTGCCCTCTGAGCTATCTCCTTGTGTGAATACTTCCCTCCTGATCTCTCATGGTTGATCAGTCTAAGGAGTGCACCCACCTGGTGGAAATTTCACCTGTCTTTTGTTTGGCTGGGAGCCACAGAAGTGAGTTCAACTCCAGGCCCAAAGAGTGGCTTGGGGCCATAGTCTCCGGGGTTTCACTAACCTCTATCATTTCAGCCTGTCTTTTTATGATTCTGAGTTTGGTTTCACATTTTTCTCGCACTCGATCCAGGATGTCCTATTTTGATGCCTTCCCAAGTAGTTGACAGTGGTAGTAGGGCACCACTTGGTTCTGAGATTCATATGGTCCACTTGTTGCTTGGGCTAATTGTTTCCATGTGTCTTTAGCTTTCTTCATTCTTCTTTGTTCAAGGTGAGGAGAGAAACCAATTGTTGTATCTTAGATGGCTGCTTTGAAGCTTTTAAAA